ATACATACATCTAACATGATAACATGATCTTGCGATAGGAAGTTTTTATCCATGTAGTATCAGAGCATTTGCCGATTGAATAGAATACACTTTTCTAGAGGGTCATTCGTATAGAGAGAAAGACCTGCAATGATTGCCCATGACTTGAGCGGGCAGCAGCGGTTTTTTTCTCGGGGGACAAGAAGGGATCGTGTGCCATGCTAGCTTTAGGCACTACAATCACAGCTTGATACGTTCTATTCCAGCTGCCTCAAAGGCAGTTGGCACCATAATTTAGTACTCTGTCTAAAATGGCAGCAGAGGTGCTAAATAGTGGGAAATGGCGAAAAAACGAAGTGAAACGGTCAAAAACCTGCAAAAAAGCCTTTGTTCTACACGATTCAGAAAGCAATTTTAGGACGAGTTTCTCGTTGGCATCTTGCAATAACCGCTGCGTCAGATACCACTGATATACCCATGCAGCATCGCAGCGCTTCATATCAATCCCTTCGCTCATATTTTACTTCGCAAATGAAGCGATACGAGCACCAGGATCGGTCGGACATTTGTGGGCGGGCGGGCGCAGGTAGGCGTGGGTCGGTATGTTGCAGCTTTATAGGGCAATATAAGGGTAGATTCCTTGGATCGTGCCAACTGCCTTCCAACTGCCTTTCGGAAAAGGCGTCGCGCAGCACTCGCTCAGGGACGCCGGATTCGGTCCTGCTAAGCGTACTAGTCGTACAAGTCTTGGAGATTTATCATGCCAACTGCCTTCGAAGACTGGCCCCGCAGTTTTATATTGTGTTTTATATTTATTTATATTTTTATGTTATATAACGAACCTATAGTCGTAAATGGCTGTCCAGAGAAAAAAAAAGCAAAAATTCTGGCGAACACCGTCAGAACCCCCTGGCAGCTTCACTGTACTAATTACCAGTGGTTGTCCGGAAATGCTCGTTTTATGCCAGCAAAGCTAAATCCTTGCGCCTAAGCGGCTCACGTGTCGTTGTTCGTCGCGTTATCCAATACTATTGTTCTGAGTAAGTCGAAAAAAAAACACAGAAAAAAAACGCAGGTGTAAGAAACTGAACCATACACACGGTGAATAGATTTGGGTGGGCGGGACCAACTAGGCGGGGGGGGTCGGAACTGCCATTTTTGAGGATCGCAGTACTTTGTTACTTTCTGTAAAGCCGCGAGATACGGGCGGTCGGCGGGTGAGAGCAATACTGCTTGTAGAAGGAAGAAGCCTACAAATTGCTGGAGCCCTGGGACCCCGATGAGTAATACTCTAATGAGCTAATTTTGTTTGATAACTCAAACGCCTACCTGGATAACGGGGGCGGGGGGGAGGCAATAAAATGTACTTTGATCTGTATCCTTGTGTCCTTCTCGATGTGCGTTATAATGGTTGCAGCTTTAATGCTAAATGTCTAATCGAGGACATTCTACCACCATATACAAAGAGCATATTAAATACTATCATGATACTCCGCCACAGCCTTCTGGAGGAGCGCCGTCGAGAGATTCTGCCACGCAACCGTGATTCGGTACCTGGCTTCAGCGAGATAGCTGATTTCTCGGCCACTGCAGACCACTTTGTTGAGCTCCGCCCGCCTCGGTAATGTGAGGGAGTCTTAGCTCACGGGACAACGTCGGATAGTTCCCGATTTCTTCAGTGTAAATAACGCCCTTCCCATTGCCAAGCTAAGGCGAGAGTTTTTTCCAACGCGCACTTCGATTCTTGTGGTTTCACCCAACAAGTATGCAGTGCAAAGTTTCCAAGAAGGTACGGGCGACGACATGTGGGGAGGATATTCTTCTCGAGCTGCTCGATGTAACCGCCAGCGCTCACCTTCAGTCCGGGTCCACGAAGAAAATATCGGTTCCCTTTCAGGTACGCCCGGTCGATGCCATCTACTCGCGCCGTGGCTACTACGGTGAAGATGATGTCCTAGATCGTAGCGACGTTGTCGGAGCTGCTCGATGTTGGAGGTCTTCCAGATCAAAAGTGGCTGGTTCTCAGGTTGCTATCGCATGGGTATCCATACCGAAGTTCGCAGTGCTTGAAGGTGACATGAAATTCCAAAGGTCTTCCTCCAGTCAGGCTGCGACTGGAGATGACTTCATATTTTGGTGTACATGAAGGTGATGGGCGAGAGCCAGCTCCTGCTTATCGAGGAACATCTTGGGTATCTTCCGCCCTGGTACTCGTATCCACGTCCTCTGTCTGGGCTAAAAACTTTGCTGATATGTGACTCGGTCGAAGTGTCTTTTTTGCCCCTCCCCCCCCCCACCCTGTATGATTGTTGGTTTGGAGACAGCAGGCACAGCATCTCCTTTTCTTACGTGTGCTCGTCAATGCTTGCTACTGTGATGAGGAATATTGTCAGTGGTCTCCAGCACCACCTCTATTATTGCACTTATACGACTCCTCTATCCTCACCTACATCCTCTGCATGACTACACTCAGATTGCTGCTACTGGACTCCTGATTTAAAAAGGGGGCTTGGTCTTCTCACTTCCCATAATAGTTGTTCTGTTTCCCCGATTGGCCGAGGCTAGCCGTACGGACGTCACTTTGGTGCTTCCGTTTGTCTGTCGTATGAGAATCTATTCGTCTGCGAACCGTTTTCCCACCCGTCGTACGTTGGACATCCCCAGCAAGGGAGATCGTATCTGTTGTTAAGCTTTCATCTAATTTTTTCCTGTCCACGCGCTCGCCTCTTTCCCCTAACCTTCCGCCCCCCCCTCTTCCATTTATCCCCTCCACGGCAGTAATGTGTGGAAACATAAGAGAATTTTGAGGAGAAACTCAGAGGTGTGGTAAAATTGGAAGAACAGGAAGATGGGAGGTGACGAGATTGGGAAAAGAAGTTGTGGTACCAAATAAGGGAATTTTCATGAGCCAGCCGTGAATTTGCAAGATTACAAAGATTTTTCCCTACCGGTAGGACGTGCCCTATTGCCAGTAAGATAAAGGTGATGTAGCGTGCCATATGGAAGGGGCCCATTAGGAAAGAAGTCCTTGGACTTAGAGAATACCTGGATGTGGTTTGATGAAACGAACTTGTCAAATTTCGGATGTAATCATGGGCTAGTGATAATCTTACGTAGTTTGCTTAAGATGCTGGAAGCGAAGACTCTATCGGTTCGCGAAGTGCAGTCCACCTCCCCTCTGCTCGATAAATATCAGATGTCTTATGGGGAGGTGAGGTGACTTTTTTATGTTGCAAGTATGCAATAGTTTTTCCATTTATTTCAACATTTTCAGGATTTCCTAAAGTTTTCGGTAATCCTCATCATAACGGACAAGTCAGGTTCGCCTTGTTTCAGTCTTTAAACGTAAACGCTATACAAAATACGGCACTATTTACCCTTTACTTCCCCAATATTACGGAGGCCAGGCTACTTTCAACCGACTTTTTAATGCGTTGGCAGAATTGGCTTACAAGATGTGTTCTCTGGGGGTATAATTTTACTTTTGTTCTGACATGAATATCTCCATCTGCGGCTCGGCACGAAACTCCCTGGCGCCCGCGCCACAGACGCCATCGCCAAAATACCGTAAATCACCAAATTTGCTGAAATCTTGTTCCCGAGGGTAGTCTGACCTCCTAAACACGAATACCGCATCCGCGTAGCCCGAAGCCTCCTGGCGCCCGCGCTGCAGGCGCGGCGCCGAAACTGTCCCGCATCAGCCGGCGCCTGTAAGCGACGGGCGCCAGGAGTTTTGAGCTAACGCGAATAGATGATTCGTATTTCAGGGGGGGGGCAAACTACTGTCCAGGAGACAGCATTTGAGCCCAGATAATCCTTGTGCTACGGAGCAAAAAGAAGATCGGTCAAACTAATTCTGGCAGCAATAGGACTGAGTAAGTAAAGGGTACAGTAGATGGCCATAAAACATCCTAACACAGGCGTATGCTATAGACAATTTGCATTTTTATATGGCAAAACGGTTCACTGTACTAGACAGTGCTACTTATAAGAGGCTGATGGAAGGATCAATTATTGACGTTGATCAGTCTCTTTACATGTTCCTACGCATTACACTACCATTTGGAATCGTACTAGCATTTGAAGGCATGATTAGCCTGCAATGTAGCTGAACGACTTGCGGATCAACCCAAGATGACTAGCTCGGTACTTTTTTCCAGACGAGACTAGCTCAGTATTTCTTACCTCTTTTTCAGAGTTTGGCTGGAAAATGGAGTGGGAATGGAGCGGAGGTCGTGTCTTGATAGCTGGCGCCATTTAGTAAAAAGGGGTACGATAATCAGTGAGAACCCAGATCAGCCCTTTGGCAGTGATGGCTTTCAATCTTTCAAGCCTGATAGACTGATTCTATGCATCTGGTAGAATAAATACATTGACTTGTGAATTGGTTGGCTCCCGCGACACATTGTGTGGGCGACATTTAGTCAGACGCCACGGCGATTCGCATGGGACTAGAATGTATGCTTTAACTCAGTAAGGGATTAATTAACGACGCATTCTGGCTTTTTCTCTTTTGACCAAGATTTGGAGGTGCTTTCTCGTTGGCAAAAAAACAGCTGGTTTCAATAATTGCAGGCAGTACGTCAGGGCTGTGCGCGTTAGCACTGGATAAGTCTTTTCTAAGGTTGAAACTCTCTGTAATAGTCGAGGTCAGTGGATGCTTCATGGGTACAGATGTCCTGAGTTTCCGATCTCTGTTGACCGCAGTTTTGAAGGATGATGAGGAAGCGATGGTACTGGTTGCACTGGTCAAAAAAGCTGTGAGGATCGCACGTGAACGTTTTGCAGAATCTATCCTGACAACCGACTCAAAAATGAAACATGTAGATGATTTCGAGCGACTTGGGTAAGCTGTGATACTTCTCTGTTC